AAGAATAAAAGATGAATTATACCTTTAAATACTTATCATATAAGGAAATATGATATTCTTTTTGGGACTGACCAAAAAAGAAATGGTGCCACATAAAATGGGACGAAGGGAGTATCATTTTTCAAATCAACTTCTAACCTTATATGCTCTTTGCTCAATTCGCTCCTATTTGTTTTCTTCCCACTATAGCGAAATAAGAAAAGCGCAAACTCGAATAACACACTAAATTTTTTTTTTAAATTGATTATATTTTTGGCTTTTCAAAAAGTATTTACTTACTATGCCTACTAAATCAAAATAAAAAGGAGAAAATATAGGAAATGGTTAACATCAAGAATGATAAAGCATAATCCATTATAATGTAAAGTTAAACGTAAAACTAAATAAATAATTAAGTGGAGTAGACACTAATTATCTCAGTCAAAGTCAAAGCACGATTTGTTTCTACTTTTTGATGCCTACTTATTCCGCTGCATATCTTGGACAAGTGCATTTGTGACAGCCTTACAGCATATATAGAAACGGATCTAGAATTTGAATGCAGTTCAATAATTTTTAAGCTAAATTTATATTTATATTAAAAAATTTATTAAACATATAAAAATTATTTGTTAAGAACTAAGCAATAGAATAGTTAATTTCTTGGTCCATCAGTAGAAATGAAACTTGCTTAGATTTTGATATTCTTATTGAAAAGTGTTCGATCCCAATCAACCTGCATTAATGAAAAATGGAACTATCGAATCACGGGTGAATCACTTTATCGGGATAGGAAGAATTGCAACATCGACATTTTTTTTCTTCTCTAAATCAATCCACTAATAGGTAGCGGTAGGAGAGATCCATTATGATTGGATGGACCGTTCTCGAATTTCAGCATGCATTTTTGTCAATCGGCAAAAGACTCACGCATACTGGAAGGGTACGACTTCAAGGGATGGACTCGATCAAACGGCCAACCACTTGCTAAATCCAAAAGACCATATTCCTCTTAACACATATATTCTAACGAAGTTTGTATCTTTAATTTGAAAAAACCCCGTATACTTCAAAAGTATTGAATTCATCTCGATACATCACGTGAACTAATTTTGGGGAGGCGTTTTGGAATGGGAACGTACATTTAATATAAATGTTGAATGAATCCAATAATTAAAGTTGTGGTAACGTGATAAATACTCTTTTTTTATTAACTAAAGAGGTTTGAAGTTCGAAATTCTCTAGGTACAAAATCATCTTTATTAAAAAAACGCTCTACCCCAATGTAAACTTTTTAATATGAATTCAGATAGTCAGACTCCAATGCAAAAATATGAGTGTGAAAGTAGAAAAAATATTTAAAGAACCCAAAAATATGACCTCATGGAGTACCAACTTTATATGTAAGCATAAGCTATTCATGACATAATTTTACGTAAGCCATATATCATGTTACGCGTAAGTTGGCGTAACGACCGTTGACGCTAATTTACAACCCCCTAGGCCCTAACCCCACACACCCTCCCTATATTTTGTTTATATAGTTTATACACGAAAAAATATTTATTCGTACTCAGTATTTATATTTATTTTAAATAGTAAGAAAATATATTTTGAAAATGTATGATTAATATGTGTGTGAAAGCTGACACAAATGTAATGTATACTTCATAGGTTTTGAAGTTTAGAGATATTTTTGAAAAATTGTCAAGTCTGAAAAATAGTTATTTTTGAATTTTAATAGATGATCTTTTAGAAACAGACTCTCTATATTCACGTGTACACTTTCTATTCTTCTCAACTCCACTTATAAAATCTTATTGAGTTTGTTATAATCATTTATCATTTTTCTCGATACATATATTTAGAATTTGAACCGAAATTAATAGATTCTGTCAAACTCATACTATATCCCCTCAACATTTGCTCACGTATGAAATGATATAAATTAAATACATGTGCCTTCCATTTATTGTTGTGATGTAATGTAAACCACCATATACAAATAAATTTTGACTTTTTTAAGATCCTACTTCTATATATACATATCTATTTCATTTCCTATATTTCCTCAACACAATCATAGTCATTCCTAAGAAAAATAAAAATATCATACCTACAAAATTTCTTCTTCTTCTTCTTCTTCTTTTCACAATGCAAGATGCACTTCCATACAAATCATGGAATTTTTTTCCAACAAATTCCACAACTCTAAACAAATCTTCATCTCTAATGATCAATCAAATCAATTACTCTAAAGGGAATTTCAAGAAAATGGTAACGGAAAACGCCGTTATAGTTTTTAGACGACGTGGCTGTTGTATGAGCCACGTCATCAAGCGTTTACTTCAATGTCTTGGAGCGAACCCCGTTATGTATGACATTGAAGAAAAATACGAAAATGAGGCGATAACGGAGCTAGAGGATATCGGTAAAATTGTCGGTGGTGGTGATCGGAGTTTGTCGTCGCTGTTGCCGGCGGTGTTTATCGGAGGAGAGTTGTTCGGAGGATTGGATCGGATTATGGAAGCTCATATTAGTGGTGAATTGTGTCCTATTTTGAAAAATGCAGGGGCCTTGTGGCTATGAGTTTAATATATATATATTTTGTAACAATTTAACTGCAATATTATATTTTTTGTTTTATTTTTAAATGAAAAGATTTGTATCATGATATATTTTCATGAGTCGCGATTGACTCTTGACGAGCTACGTACCTCTAGGTGAACTCATGGCTTGTCTTGAAATACAATATTATTACTTTCTCTGATGTTTCAATTTATGCGATATTTTTCGATTATCGAGTGTTTATTTGATTGGTCTTTTGAAGCTAAATTAGATTATCAACTCATTATTTTATAATTTTTAATTATTATATTCAAAAAATTATTTGAAAAGTGCTATAAATTTGTGTCAATATAATTTTAAAAAGGCATCTTAAAATGTTGTCAAAATTTGCATCGTTTGAATCTGAAAAAATAAAAATATCACATAAATTTAGATAGGAAAATGCTAACTAATATAAGTGAAAACAATTTATTTTTTATACCTCATGTTTATTACAGATAATTTGCATTTTATTACCTTACACTCTATTTGTTTTGATTTTTTGTGACAGCATTAATATTTGAAAAGTAAAAAAAAAAAAAACTTCTTTGACCATGTTTTTCTACTATATTAGAAGAGCCAGTGAAAATGTTGGTATCAACATGTCTGCTTGGCATTTTTGAAGGGTATTTTAGTTATTTAAGTTTCAATTTACCAATTGTCTCGGCGGAAAATTCTATTTCTTATAGATGTTTTGTTATATTTTGTCTGTGTAGACGTTTTTGCCATTATGATTAGTGTATATTAAAGTGATGACGAAAAAGCGCCCAACTTCACTCTTTGGACAATTCGCTTGCCCAGTGGCGGAGTCAGAATTTTCAATAAGAGGGTTCAAAATTCGAAGGAGTAAACATACGAACTAGTTGAAGGGGTTCGATATCTATTATATACATCTAAAAAATAATATTAACCATGTATATATAGTAATATTTTCCGTCGAAGGGGTTCAGATGAACCCCTAAAGACATGCTGGCTCCGCCCTGGGCTTGCCACTTCTTTCCTCAACATATATAATCATTTCTTTCCTTTATATTTTTCAACCTTACCATTATTTATTTATCTAAACATTGTTTAATTGTTTAGTTATATGTATTATTTATTACTAACATTAACGTATGGACATTATATTAAAAATATTTTTTAGCGGTAATAGCTTGATTGTCGCTAACACGTGTACTTTTAGTGACAATTAGCTCTTTTTGTAAGTGTTCCTAAAGTCTATAGCAAAATTGGATCCAATGGCAATTAATTAATGTCGATAAATGCTTTAACACTCTTTGTTAATGTGTACTTATTATTTATTGCCACTAATAATAGTTTTTGTTATATTGGGAAGAAATTAAATTTTTGTTTGGTTATTATCATTTATAATGTAAGATTTATATTGATACTTAATGTACTTACTAGATTTATTAGCAATTTTTTAAAAATGTAACTTGCAACATTAAATTAAATCCATATTTATTAGTATAATCTTACATTTGAATTGTGAATTTGACCTTTTAATAGTATGAAAAAATAAAATTGGATTTAGTAGATATAAAATGAAAAAATATTATATTACGAACGGCAGTAGTAGTCGAAACATAAATAAATTTCATGCCTATTAAAAAATAATAATTGACATGACTATTTTACTGTTCTATGATTCTATTCATATTAACTATGTAATGTTTAATATTAAATATTGAAAAATGAGTTGGAGAATAAATAATTAACGCTAAGGTTAGTAATGAAAAACAATAATTTTATTTTCTTGATAAATTTAAAGTGACAAATAAAAATGAAAATCTATTTTTAAAATAATGAAAGTGTAAAAATGAACAAGGAGAGTATATCAAAATTGAAATTGTTAGGCCGTGGGCAGCACGGGCGTTCTTCATCTAGTTTCTTAAATATGTGAATTATTAATTATTATAATTTCAAATAATTAATTATTATAATTTATATATAAGGTTGAATTTGTGTTCTAGATGCTTTGGTTGGTGCCAGCAAATTGTATTTGACATTTTGAGGATTTTAGCTTGACTTTGGAATTAAGAGAATGGTGGTGACCTATAGTTTTATTTAATTATTATTGTCCTAATTGTCAATTTCAAAACTCCTATTTAAAGTCATGGTCGAAGTTTCTAAATTTTCTCACAAGTTTAGCCGAGTTTCAATTAACTTCAAATATGTGAATTCAAAGTTTGAATATATGTATCATAAATTTAATTTTCGAAATTTGGAAGCAACCACCTTTAGATATTTTTATATGAAGTTCAGGTCGTATATATGAAGCTAAACTTCATTCATTTTTACATTAAATTCTAGCTGTATGTGACTAGATCACGCGTTCTGATTATGAACGCAAAATATTTTTAATAAGTGATTGCACCTTAAATGACGTTGTGTAAATATGCTATCCCGCGAAATTACTTCAACAGAGAGTGTTCAGCAAAGATGGCCCCGCTAGTTTTGGGCCAGGATATTGAAGCAGCTTGATGGGCAATTGAAATTGTTCTTGGGAGTATATCCCAGAACTAAAGAAAGAAGAAGAGAAGAAGAGATAAGGGAGAAACAATGTATTTTTCTAATTAGTGTATGAACTCAATTGAAAAAACTTACATTCAATAATAACAAAGTCTCCCTTATATAGAGAGATTTGTGACCGTTACTACATAACTAACTAATAGTTAGTTATAACTAACTTTTATTAAGAAATACTAACAACCTTTTTTTCCCTTACTCTCAACACTCCCCCTCAAGCTAGGAAGGGGAAAATATATCAGATAGTCCTAGCTTGGAATTAAGATAGTTGTGCTGAACTCTAGTAAGCCCCTTAGTCAGCATATCGGCCGGTTGTTCTTGTGTTGAAATGTAGCTTGTGGTAATAATTCCTTGAAGTAGCTTTTCTCTAACGAAATAGCAATCAAGATCAATGTGTTTTGCCCTTTCGTGATAAACAGGGTTTGCTGCTATTTGCATTGCAGACTTGCTATCACTGAAGACACAAAATGGTAGTGTTACCACACTACCTCACTTCCAATTTCCTTCATTAAACCTAGTATCCATACTAGTTCTGCTACAACAGCTGCAAGACTCCTGAACTCTGCTTCTGCAGAGCTTCTGGAAACTGTAGTCTGTTTCTTTGACTTCCAAGAAACTATTGAATCTCCCAGCTTCACAAAATAACCAGTTACCGACCTTCTAGTTTGTGGACAAGATGCCCAATCAGCATCACAATAAGCACTGATCTTCTCTTCTGAACTACTCGACAAAAGGACTCCTAACCCTGGCTGATTTTGACATACCTTACCACTCTAACTGCAGCTTCCATGTGTGACTTTTTAGGATCTTGTAGAAACTGGCTTAAAGTTTGTACACTAAATGCTATATCAGGTCTGGTCATTATTAGATAGAGCAGTTTCCCAACCAACCTTTGGTATGCCCTTTGATCAGTAGGAGGATCATCACTTGGTTTCATATGCTTGACATGATCATCAAATTGTCTTGAGGTGAGTTTTAGGTTATAGTCTATGGGAGCCCCAGCTGGCTTAGCTGCTCCTAACCTCAATTCAGCCAATAGCTCTAATGCATACCTTCTTTGATGCATTAGTATTCCTTTGTCAGACCTTGCAAATTCAATACCAAGGAAAAATTTTAACTCTCCCAAATCTTTCATCTTGAAAGTCTCTGACAAAGTGGTTTCGGTTTCCTTATAAACTTCAGACTATCACCAGTGACTAACATATCATCTACATATACTAATACAAGTGTAACTCCTTCAGGTGTTTTTTTAACATACAAAGATGAATCATATTGACTCTGAACAAACCTGAACTTCACCAACGCCTCTGATAACTTTGTATTCCACTGTCTAGGAGCCTGTTTTAAACCATATAGGGATTTGACTAGCCTGCATACCTTGTTCTCCCCCTGGCTTGCAAATCCCTGAGGCATGTCCATATATATCTCATCAGTTAGGTCTCCATTTAGAAAAGCATTATAGACATCCATCTGATGAACATACCATTTTTTCCTTGCTGCTGTTGCCAGCACAGTTCTTACTGTTTTCATTTTTACTACCGGAGAGAAAGTCTCTTTAAAATCTATACCTTCTCTTTGATTATACCCTTTTGCAACAAGCCTAGCTTTAAACCTCTCTACCTCACCTGAAGCTTTATACATTACTTTATACACCCAACTACACCCAATATATTTCTTGCCTTTAGGTAAATCAACCACATCCCAAGTATGGTTGTGATTTAAAGCTTCTACTTCATCTTTCATAGCATGAACCCACTTTGAATCTCTACTTGCCTCTAAGTAGTTGGTTGGTTCAGAAACTGACGAAGAGGCTGCTACACAAGCCATGTACTCTTTTGATAACCTCTCATAAGACACATACTTTGACAGTGCATAAGGCATTTCTTTGTGAATGTTTAAAGAGACAAAATCAGTCATCCAAATTGGTGTCTTCCTATCTCTAGTTGACTTCCTCTGACCCTGCACCTTATGAGACATATCAGTAGCCTCTTGTGTCACCTTATGTTGGTTACTCTGAGAATCTAAGACTGTATCTTGTGAACCTGTAGAACCATGAACTTCATCACCTATTTCAGGAATAACTTGAACTGTCTCAACACTTGTAGCTGTATCTGTTGACCGATACTGTTGATCACTTAAGGGAAACACACACTGAGGCTCTTGACGGGCCTTATTCTTCTCCTTAAATGGAAATACATCTTCTTTAAATGAGACATCCCTACTCACAAAGAAGGACTTATTTACCACATCATACAAGACATACCCCTTTTGTGTATCAAAAAAACCCATAAGTACAGTGGTTTTTGATCTAGTTAACAACTTGTCATGCTCATTAAGTACATTAGCATAACACAAACACCCCACAACTCTAAGATGATCATAATTAGGGTTCTTCCCATACAACCTTTCATATGGAGTTTGATAATGTAACACGGAACTTGGTAGTCTATTTATGATGTATACAACTGCTAACACACAATACCCTCATAATCTTATTGGAATTTCCCTTTGAAACCTTAGAGCTCTTGTTACCTCTAAAATGTGTATGTGCTTTCTTTCTGCAACTCCATTTTGCTGAGGAGTGTAAGCTCATGTTGTCTGATGAACAATTCCAAGACTTTTAAACAGGCTATTGCATAGTGAATTCACAAATTCAGATCCATTATCTGTTCTTACCACTTTTACTACCTTATTAAACTGAGTCTGTACATAACTGAAAAAATGCTTAATCTGAACAAACAAATCAATCTTAAATTTCAGCAAAAACACCCAAGTCACTCTGGAGAAATGATCAACAACTGTCAAGAAGTACATATTACCATTCATAATGGGAACTCTATAGGTGCCCCATATGTCCATGTGCACAAGATCAAAATAACAAGTAGTTTTAATAGTGCTAGAAGGAAATGACAACCTAGTCTGTTTCGCACTTGGACACACAGTACATTGTTTCAGTCTATCATCTATATCCACAGACTTCTCTATAGACAAAATTCTTTTGAGTACATTAGTAGACACATGTCCAAACCTCTTGTGCAACAGGTCCACCTCTGCTTGCTGCTTATTTTCTACAGTATTTGCAGCCAATGCTTCTCCCTTGACTGAATTCTTAGTACTCTGATCAGCTAGAAAATATAGTCCACCATTAATCCTTCCAATTGCTCTCACCTTCCCAGTGTAAAGATCCTGGAATACACAGAAATCAGGGAAAAAACTGACTGAACACTGCCACTCCTTGACTACTTTAGACACTGAGAGCAGATTATAACTGAATTGAGGTATATGAAGAACATTAGAGACAACATTTCCTTCTATCAAACAACTCCTACCTACATTTGTCACCACAACTGTATCACCATTAGGAAGACAGACCTTCTTTACTCCCGCGGGTTGTACTACAGAAGACTCATCTAACATACTTAACTCATACACTATATGATGTGTAGCCCCTTTATCTATGATCCACTGTTTTGATTTAGGAGTTTTAAATAAAACACTGCTAATACCTGCAACATTTGCCACATCTGCTGAACCAGTTTCTTCAGGAGGATTGTTTGAGTGGATCATCTGTAGAATCTGACTATATTGCTCCTGAGTAAATGCTGCTTTACTCATTTGATTCATCATAGACACCTGTACCTCAAACCTTTCCTGATCACCTGTCCTTGACTTGGCACGAGAGTCTTGTTCATCCATCTGACCAGCTAACACATTGTAGGCAACTCCTCCTTCTAACTTTTGTTTTCTCTTTGTTTTAAAATCAGGAGGATATCCATTCAACTTCCAACAATTTTCTCTACTGTGACCCTTTAGTTTACAGAAATCATATTGAACATTATAGTTTTTCTTAAGCCTTTGCCCCTGACTTCTTGAGTACATTGCCATTTCAAAATCCTTTACCTGAGCAATTGGACTCATTCCCAACACTCCAGCACTGGTAGCTCCAGCCCTATGACTTTCATCACTCACAATCATAGCATAAGCTTGATTTACTGAGGGCAAAGGACTCATGAGCAAGATTTGACTTGTTGCTTGAACGTATGACTCATTCAACCCCATCAAGAACTGAAACAACTTTAGTTTTTGAAGATGCACCACAAATTCTTTCAACTTATCACAATCACACCCTGGTGCTAGTACTAGTGCTTCAAACTCATCCCACAAATCTTTAAGTATTGAAAAATACACACAAACAGACATATTTTCTTGACTCAAAGAAGCAATATTCTTATGCAGATTAAAAGTTCTCACACCATCCACTTTATGAAATCTTTCATATAGATCATCCCACACTGATTTAGCAACAGAGGCATACATTATACCTCCAAGTAATTCTTTAGCAACAAAGTTCATTATCCAAGCAAGTACTACTGCATTCATCCTTTCCCAATGGTTCCCCAATTCATTTGGAAACTTATCTTTAGCACAAGTCCCATCTATCATACCCATCTTATTTCTACCTAACAGGGCTACTCGCATGGATCTATACCAAACTGAGTAATTCTCGATACCTGTAAGTTGAAATGATATGATTTGGACACCACTGACATCTGATGGATTGAGGAACAGGGGATGGTTATAATCGATCACACTGGGCTGAGACCCGCCATGGCTAGTTGATCCTGAGACTTCAGTTTCTGTACTCACCATCGTGAAACTCTCCAGATCTCAAAACTTGACTCACACTTTACACCACAGTTGAAAACTCCGACTGTAGGATCGAAAGAATTAGCAAGAAGCTTTTGCCTATGGCTTTGATACCATGAAATTGTTCTTGGGAGTATATCCCAGAACTAAAGAAAGAAGAAGAGAAGAAGAGATAAGGGAGAAACAATGTATTTTTCTTATTAGTGTATGAACTCAATTGAAAAAACTTACATTCAATAATAACAAAGTCTGCCTTATATAGAGAGATTTGTGACCGTTACTACATAACTAACTAATAGTTAGTTATAACTAACTTTTATTAAGAATACTAACAACCTTTCTTTCCCTTACTCTCAACAACAATTACTCCTTCTAGCCCAAAAACTATGTGTATCAGTCGGTTCGGTTCGATTTTAAGTATTATCGGTTCGGTTTATCGGTTTTTGGTTTTTAAATATGCTAAACCAATAACCAAATCAATAAGATATTTGTTATCGATTTTCGGTTTATCGCTTTTTGGTCTTTAACGGTTCGGTTTAACCAATAAGAAAATGTTTCCAAAACAAATTATGACTTGTCCAACAACTTGACGCAAAATAAAAAAAGAGAGAAATCAAATTACTCTCATTGAGCACAAAAAATTCTGCTTAGTGTAGTAAAAGTATAGCAAATACTCACAATTCATAACTCTAGCTAGGGGTGTTCACGGTTTGGATAAAAACTGATCCAAACCGAAAAACCAAACCAAACCGATAAAATAAAACCGATTTTACTTGGGTTTGGTTTGGTTTGGTTTTAGATTTTTGAAAACCGATAGTATTTGGTTTGGTTATGGTTTTATTCGGAAAAAACCGAAGAAATAACCGAACCGAACCGAACCGATGAATTATATACATATATTTTATTAATATACATACTTAATATATTCTTTTTATAAACAATTTTAAAGATCTTATACATATTTTCATTAAAATTTCTTTATAATTTACTTATTGAAAGCAAAAATGCCCAAGATGAAACATTTATCTTATTGATTTCATGTATATGAGTGTCTATGTCAATTCTTTGTGGGACTGAAAATGTTATTGTCTCTTCCTTCCAGGCCAACAAAGTGAATTTTAAAGTTTTATTGATAGTAAATTTAGTGATTGAAAGTTTAGTAATTTAAGTCATTCTAACTATTTTTCGTTTTGAATGGATTGTTGTCACTTTTTTCACATTTTAAATGAATTGTTTCTTTTATTTTTGTGTATGGTTAATAACCGAATAACCGACCCAAACCAAACCGAAACTGATACTGATAAATGTATATTGTATTTGGTTTGGTTTTGTTTGGTTTTGATAATTTTAAAACCGATTAAGTTGGTTTGGTTTTGGTTTTGACCAATAACCGATCCAAACCAACCCGTGAACACCCCTAACTCTAGCCATTGCTTAACACGTGCCGTCGTCATTGCAAACCTTAGCCGTCGGCTTTCTTAGTTTGTT